AAAAAAAAAAAAAACATCCTGGAAACAACCAAAAAGGAAGGAATAATATTAATCCATTCAATTTCTAATAACGTACAACTGATTTTATGTATTAAATTTTGTATTTCTTAATCCCTTTTTTCCATCCCAACTTTATTGTATTGCTTTGACTTAAAAGTTTTTTTGAAGTTGTAAGTATACTTTATTATGTCTGGATGTTATATATAAAATCACTTCTCCTCGAATGACAATATGATACTATAACCTTCACCTCATGATCTTTAATTTCCTCCCTTTATGCTGTGAGACACGCTAATACAATAAAGACATGAAGTTTTTGCAATAGATCTGTTTTATTACAAGAGAGAGAGAGTAGAAACTGATCACATCGGACAGAGGTGGGCCACTGTGGTTGAGAAAAAAAAGTGTTTTGTCTGCTACCAAAAATACTTTTGTATCCAGATAATCAATAATGATGTCTGCATTGAATATATGCATCTGCAATCTAAACCTTGACCTAAAAGACTGCTTGTGCTCAAATGTTACAAAGACAATGCATGGTTTTTTTCACCGATTCAGAATTGAATCTTTTCATCTTTCCAAAAAGCCAGACTGCCACCAAGGCCCCTTGTATCCTCTTAAGTCATGCACTTCTATCCCAACTTAATAAATAAATAAATAAATAAATAAATAAATAGAAGCATTGTAGTAAGACAGTCAGAAGTGCTAAAACTGTAACTGTTCAAGCCAGAGAACCTTACTGCTTCTTCTATAATTTTGTATCCAAATTTCTAAAAATATTTCCATAAAGTAGCATCAAAGCAAAGCAATGATAAAATGAACATGCTCTGAGTTGGTGTTGGAAATGATGGCATTTTATCAAGAATTTTTGCATATGAAATATCCAAAACGAGGTACCCACATGGGTGCTTAATACTTGTATTATACTTATTAATATGGTAGTGAAGGTTTCTCATTTTCATAACTATAATCATATTTACACAATTCCATAATTAACAGATAATGAACAATTATCAAAGACATGCAGTAATGCCACGTGGAAATACTGTAAATCAGAAAGTGAATTAACCAAAAATGTAAGCATTATCAAAACAAAATAGTTTTATATTACAACCAGTAATTATCAAAAGTGACAAAATGAAATTAACTTGAGTACAACTATACTGGGGGCAAATGAATCAAAACCCGTCTGACTATTCTTAAAGTATTCAAATTGATTACTTAATTTTAGAGCTAAATTAGCATGAGCCAGCAAATGGTCTGCAAAAAAGGATTTTCAAATTTGGTCAATGTATTGCTATATTAAATGGTACCTTGTACCTATTACTGTTCCAATATGATGCCTTTCTCTTGAAAAGCAGATCTTCTGATCCAATAAAATCACTGATTAGCATTATTATCATTTTTTTATTGCCCAGATGTAGGAGAATGAGATATTTTTGCATCAAATACAGAAAATAAGACTGAAAGAATATGGTAAAAGGCACAGTGGCAAATCCTTGGTGCTGAATACTCTAATATATGTTTCCTATGCCCACATGCATTTTGCAGTTTATTTTTAAATTACTGTAATTATTGGAATATGTGATACATTAACACCTGACCACAAATATATGCTTTCCAATGTGCTCTTGATTTTCAGGAAGAGGGGTTTCTCTTTCAGTAAAATCTATATTTCTTGTGTCATATGACCATTATTTGCCTTCTGTGCCTTTCAATAAGACAAATATTGCAGAAACTCACAGTTACATACCAATTGTGATCTTTTCAATTGTGACACAGCAAAATTGATGCATGTTGGTACACACTTAAATTCAACTCTATACTAAAGTGTCACTTAAATGGGATCCAATTTTATTGCAATCCCTGTATTAAGACTCCAAAGTTTGGCAACTAAATCAAAAAGAAGGCACTTTAACTGAGAATACTGAATAATAGCATATTTAACTCAATAAATGAAAAATCAATCATAAATATATGATATGTGTTAGGGAAAGTTTGTATTTGTCATACAGCTGATATAGCATGAGTAACAGATGTCTTAGTAACATGTTCTTCTTGGATCAAACTCTGATATGCCCAATCTCACAGAGATTTAATTTAATTTACACTATCTCTTTCCACATATTTTCTAAAATATTAAAAATCAATCACGTCACTAGAGAATACAGCTGAGCAATTCTAGGTCAAGGTCACTCTTAGCTGACCTTGACATCAATATCATGAAAACATTTCAAATACACACAGTGCAATAAAAAATATTAGAAAATAATGGAACTGGCACATCATCATCATCATCTTCGCCACATGCGTATTCACACTATTTACTACTTATCAAACAAACATTTGAAAAATAAAATGTACAAATCCTACCACCCATCTCACCATGCCACTCACCAAGTTATTCAGAATCTAACATTTTCATTAAGCCTTTAAAAAATTGTCAAGACATCTACATATCTAGGGCACTGGCATCAACATTTTTCATGCTGTATTCTAAACAAGCCAAACCACATCACTATTATCACTTCATTATCAAGTAGCGCCTCTCATGCAGTAGTCTAACTAAGCGATTTATCCAATATATTCACCTCATTTTTGGTGTATAGCATGACAAGTTCCCTAAACCATCACAGATGTGTTTTCTACAGTGAAAATTGATATAATTATGTTTTGGTCACAGCCAGAAGAGGCCTTGTTAGTCTAACTAACACACGTGGTAGTATCAAAGATATGACATATGACACAGTCATTTTTTTTTCTTTTATGAAAAAATACCTGCCAAACTAGGGGCAGGTCTTTGAAAAAAAGATAATGACAGAATATCTTCATCATAGTGTTTTCAAACCAGACTTAAACCAATCCTGGTCCCCGCTTCTCAAATAATCTTAATCCGTAGTTGACTAGGATGTGTACAAGTCTCCAAGAGAGTGCTGTAACACTGTTCCTGATAGGGTGAGATGTGTGCATGTGTCCATGAGAGTGCTGTAAAACTGTTCCTGATAGGATGAGATGTGTGCATATGTCCATGTCCATGTTGGTAACAAAGATGTCAGCCAGAGAACTGACATGTCTTTTTTTTTCCTTTGGAGGGGGGGGGGGGGGGGGGGGGTTAAANTAATTCTCTTTGACAAAAGTGCTGAATCCAACAAAGAGCAGCTGTGTGGAGGGGTGAATTCAGTTAACTTCCAACAAGCATAGACATAGGGATGAGACTATCATTTAAGGAAAGTCTGAAAATATGGGCTGGGTCGTCTACACCATTGATATTTTTGGCTCCCAAAAAGTCAAAAATTCCACGATAGTCAGACAAATCTCATCTCTGTAGACAACAATAACACTGATAAATTGATTGGCTCATCTAATGATGTCATATAGATCTAAACCTGGACGGTTGTAAGTATGTGTGTGAAGACACCTTAAGTTGTACTTTCGAGATTATTCTGTACTTTTGATATGAACTGCAGAATCACCACTAATAAATAGTCTGTGACTGATTACAAATGATAGACCCTGAGTGATCTTTTACTAGGATCAACCCTAGGGCACATGAGGTCTGAGCTGGACTGGTATATAAAAAAAAACAACCATACGTCTTTGCACATGAATTTTTGACCTGTTCATGCAATGGTGCTTTCATGAGCAGTAAGTTTCACGCCAAGCAACTGAAAGGAATGTTCACAAAGTAAATCTTGTCAAGAACAACCCTTCTTGCATTGCTATTATTCAACAGACTGTATCAGCAATTTGAGCTCTCTGAATGTACTGCCCAGCTTCCCCTCCACGTTCTGCTTCCCATCGACAATATCACGCACGTCCATTAGGTATTTAAAGCAGCCTCTGCAGCGTCGTAATCTGCAAAACAGGAATAAATAAAGAGAATGACGCTGACCACGTGGCCGTGCAGCTAACGCCTGTAGGTAACCATCTTGGAGATGTTAGAGACTACCTGATAGGCCAGTTTGAAGAGTCCTGGGTTCTGAAGAACCAATCACAGTTCAGAATGCAAAACAGTGTGCATATCCATCTCTCATCACTCCAGTAAAGACATAAGTAACTGTACTTCCCTAAAAGTACTGCCCATTTTTCCTTGGACATGTGACTTGCTGTCTAAAGTTGATCGAATGTCCATTAAATTGTTAAAGCAGCTCTTGCATTTACGTATTCTGGAAGACAGAAAGGGTTATTCTGGGTTACTGTGACAGACACCACAATTCAAAGTGACTCAGAGTGAAACTATTCATAACAGGACTAAAATTTTACAATGACTAGTTCCAATACACAAGCAATGAAAATCTTGAATTTTTTTATAGTGTGCGACCGTCTTATCCCCTGTCTGAAGAAGGACATGGAATAACATGACTTCAAGCTAACAAAACATTTATAACTTTCAGTGCTTGTATTTAAAGAACTTCATGTTATACAATAATGCACGCACCTGCTAATACTCTATCTATTTACATAAACATATTCTATTTCTCTTCACACAGGCTATGACTACTTCTATTCACATGGGTCAAGACTATTTCTATTCACACAAAACAACTGTAGATAACTTTGAGTATCATTTATTACACAAAAAGAGTGCTGTTATTAATTATAGAATTGGTATTGTCTTAATGTGTTGGAGGTGACACATTGCATTGTGGTTACCCTCTGGTGGGAGTTTTTGAGATGTGATGTAAGGAATCCATGTTGATGGAGACGTGTATTGATAATAAAGTAACAGTTGTGCCCCTTTGTATGGCCTTTTGTTACATGAACAATGTGAAAGTCTTCAGTGCGTGACTTACGGTAACATGCCAAACAATTCGACCAAGATTAATTAATTAATTTCATGGAAATGTCAGTTTGGTCGAATTGATTAAAATACAGCAAATGGAAACCTTTGATATCGTCGGATTGTTAGGGGCATCTGCCAAAACGTCCATCTTTCCGGAAGTGTTGCATTTTACCGGAAGTGTTACGCAAGATAAGCCGCAATTTTCGCCTAACACGTGTTTTAGGCATGTTTTATCCTCCTTTTGAAATCTTACTTTGCTCTATACAATATGTGCTAACATTACTTAACATTTAAAAAGACGACAATTATATTTTCTAATTATATATTTCCCTCACCTACGATCATTTTCATGATGCGCTTCACAAGTGGGACGAGTATTTTCCCGGAGACAGGTGTTGTAAACAAAGGCCGGTCACTTATATTTGAAACCGGTAGCTTTAATGGACTTAAACTAGTTATGTGAGCTACGTACGACCTATTTGAATTTTAATATGACAACTGAGATCAACCGAATTGAAATTTTTTACCAGTCTGAGATCAGTTGTTTTCAACCCGCAAGGCTTGCTCAGCGTCGAGGCATAGACGCACGTACTTCCGAAGAAAATTCAATCACCCGTATCAAAGAATACCAACTGGTACTCAAACGGAATTCAGTGTAACTTCAAATTACTTGAAGTATTTTATTTACAATCGGAACAAGAAAAAAATTATGTTGCATGATTTTGACGTATGGACTAAATGTTTGAGCCCAGAAAAATTAATTTTGTAATATAATTTTTTTGGTTGGATTGACTGGGCCCGTCGAAATGCTTGGCACATTACCGTAATTTGTGCCATGAGCTGGAATACAAACATGGATTAGCCAGTTCAAAAGTGATGTTGAAAGACTAGGGTTCAAAGAAGAACAATTTCAAGTGTATGTGGATAAAAGAGAAAGAAAGTTGTAAAAGAAGCAGATGGAGCTTGAGAGGATGAAATTGCAACTGGAGCTGAATAAAAGTCCTGGAGAAGTACTGAGAGAAGCACCAGTGGAAGTAAGATTGCCCAATTTACAACTAGCTACTTTCTCTAGTGATGTGATGGAATTGATCAGACAAGGGTGAAAGAACTGAAATATAACTTGAACTGATGGACTGTTTGAACTGTTATGATTACACTATGAACTATCAAAGAATACTGTGGAATTATTGTTGGAGCAGTTGGTGGTCCAGTGTAAACTGTAAAAAGTGCATTTTGTTGACTTTATATGACATTTAATATAAAAAGACTGGATATGGGCTTGGTTAATTACCTTAATAGATTTATTGCACTAAAAGTATTAATTTGTATGATTTTTGTGGGGAGTATGTTATGAATTACAGAAATCGTAAACAGTTGTGTCCTTTTGTATGGCATTTTGTTACATGAGAAAGGCAAAGTCCTCAGTGCATGACAAGTGCATTAATACAAGTCTCTGTAAAAGGATCATGAAAATTTGAACTCAAAGACATATTTTCATAGTTTGTTATGTTTAGATGGTTCTTTATGAAATTTTGTCAAAAGAAATTTCTACACAGTGCAGGTCAAGATTTAATTCACTCTTTACATTTCAAAGATTTTACAAATCAAGTAAACACCCTGATAGAATGTTTTCTACCACCTGATAGGCTGTACTAAAGAGTATTTGACTCCATGCAACCAATCGCATTTTAGAATAAAAAAATCTCACCTTTCTTCCCGTGTTATGTCCACTCCTATTGAAGGGGGAGCATTAACTGTCTCCTTAATCACAGGTCCAAAGTTCTTTAATACTAACTTTAAAGCTGAGCAGCCACAGTGGACATAACTAAATAACAAAAACAAAATGGTTTCAAAATCAAAACCAAAAGACAATCGTTACACTTTGTATTTAATGTATGGTTTCTGATTTCACAGATGCTATGTAGATTAGGAAAGTAGTTTGCTGAACTAAGTTTGAAAACATTATTCTCTGGGCAAAAACAGCTTTTTAGTTATGACAAAGCAAAAGTGTATTCTGGTTTTTACTATGTACTATACTTTGGTATTTACAATGTAAATACTATTGATATCAAGATTTCAGTAATTTTTCAGTCTTCAAGATCTGTATCATTTCACTGATGAGGTTACCTTTCATATTTGCTGTTAATAAGGTCCTTGAGGTGGGGCAGCATTCCAAGACACACGTCCAAGTTCCAAAGGGCTCTAACACATAAAAACAATGACATATCTCAGAGTGTTAACATACTAGACTGGACAACACTGGGCTGAATTGGGTTCACACTATAAGGAAACATTTCTTTAAGCCGAATAGTTTCATAATTGTAATCAAAGTTTTTTAATTAAACCGACCACAGATTTGACAAGAAAAGTAAAACGTATCACATTTTCCTCAGCAAAATTAGAATAATCACATTTGGTTAAAATTAACTAGAATAAGCCCAACTAGAGACAGAGCACACTAATACAAAATCTCTTTTAGCCCAATTGCAAAATCATTTTAATTAAGTCAACTATTCATTTGATAAAAAACTGGAGTATAGTAAAATTATTCCCAGGGACGAGACTGCCAATAGGGAATAGTTGGAAAAAGAGGCATCGGGTACTGTGATATTTTTGGCTCCCACAATGTCAGAAATTTGCCTATAGTTGAAAAATGATCACCCCTGTATTTTTCACTTGTAATTGTGTTTGGTTGAAATTTCCTTGGCTCCAGTTGGTTCTAGTGGCGATCGCTTACTATTCACATTTAATGGAGTGAAAAGATTTGTGCATTGGATATACATTTTACATGACAAATGAGTTAACACAGAGTTAATCAGTGCATTTTAGATAAAATGCATTCACATTTTTACTTTTGAACAGACAGGTAAAAAAGACAGGTATGCATGCAGAATATGCATCAGGCATTGGGGAATTGCAAAATGTACAAATCAGAGTACAGTTGTCATGATGGAAAGAAGAGAGAGAGTGGGGGCAACAGAATGGTACTCACGGTTTGAAAATCAGCACATTCAGCAGATCTACTATCACAGCTTGATCGTTCATGTTTACAGCTGAATCCAGCGCAGTCTGACAAAAAAAAAAAAAAAATGGTTGTGATTAAGAAACAAATACATGCACACTAGTTTCCAGTCATGTTGTTCTCTCCTTGCATGCTCTGTACCTAGCACAAAGAAATTGTATAACTTCCTCATATTCAAAATAATAATCTGCATAATAATTAAATGGAGAGGCCAGGGGGATACCCAACAATGCTATTTAAAACAAACGTGCATATGTGACTCAGTCTTCACTGTCATCCCAAACTGGCACAAATATTTTTTAGATTATTTTCCTTCTTCCTTTCTTAAAAGTGCAACCAGCGCACATTAAGTGCAATTATAACACTTCATTCATAAATATCTATTGACCTACTTGTAAATCAATTCCTGGTGCACACTTTTTTCCTTTTATTACCTACATGCTGGATATCTTGAAAACCCACCTTCATGTTCCCCCCTGTCCAGAGAGCTCTCACTATGGACAGATTTTTCATGCGGCTGCTCATGACAGCCACCATGGCGTCATGGCCCTTCATTATGGTGGAGATGGCCTCAGCCTCAGACATGTTTGACGGGTACGACTGGCCCTCGTTCACAACAGGTACGCCACGCTTCTGAAAGAATTAATGATCCAAAAATAATTCAAGAATTTGTAAGTAAGGATAAGGTCCTGATTTCCTTTTCTTGAATTTACAAGCTGCACTTTAAGCTCAACATCACTCCTTTTTCTGATTTGACCCAATGTACAATCAAGCTTATATTGCAATCAATTGACATTTACTTCTTTTTTTTTTCACTAGCCGAAATATTTCATTCTTCTTCACTTTTGATAGAAAACTTCAACTCTTTTTAGAGCTATAATACTGCATGAAATATTTAGGTTATCCACTTTCAGAGCAACTTCCAAAGAAACTTATGTAGTAAAATACATCCTAAAATACAGCCTTACTGGTAGAAAATCCTCTACTGCAAGTCCCACAGGTTGCTCCCTCTGGGAAGGTATCACTGTAGAAGCAGGTACAGAAGTGGCTGAGTGGGGAGCTGGTGGTTGTGAATGTGGTTGTTGAGACACTGGTGGAGGAGCAAATTGTGCCGGTTGTGCTGGCTGCTGCTGCTGCCTAGCCTGTGTTTGTTGTGACGGTGAAGACTGTGCTGCCCTCTGTGGTGGAACATGAACCGGCTGCTGCCGTGTGTTGTGCTTAACTATGACTGGTGGTGGAGGAATGTCCTTCTCTGGTATCCCTGGGAGAGAGATAGTATCCTCTCATGAATTACACTGTTAAAATATCAGTATGTTGTGAAATCTTGTAAACTGTGCCATCATACAATCTTAAAATCACATTATTTAGTATGTTAGGCACATAAGCATCATGTGACCAAATGTCAACACACACACACACACACTTTCATTTAACAGCCCCGAAATCATAACACAAGCACAGACCAAACTCAGTAAAACAGGAAAGAACCCAAAAGCACAGCACAGCACAAAATATGCAAAATTTTGTTTAAATCGCAATGAACATGCAGTCCTAAATATATTCCAAAAATTACAAAGCCAACATTGCATTTTAATAATGCACATCAATACAATAAGTTCTTCTTTGGCATTTCCTCAAAAATATATAAGATAACTACAATAACTGTACACAAATGTTTGTCACTATGATAGCAAAATGCCAAAGAAGCTAACTCAAACATTTTCTTTTTCTATGTACACCATGTATACAAACTACAACATTCAAGGCTAGAAATTGAAAAAAATTTTACAACATAACATGTACCAAATTATAATCAGTATTTTTTACTATTAATCAGATTTCAAAGGATAAATTACCAGGGACCCTTTTTGCCAATTTCTCACTGGAAAAAAAAACTGTTTCATTTAGTTAACCTAATTTCCCATGCCGTTTACACAGGTATCTACTATAAAAGTTCCAGATAAAAAGCGGCTGTAAGCAAACAAAGCCCCTGGCCAGTGCATAATTTTTCATGGCAAAGCTTTCAATTAATTTCTAGCCCTGAATCTTTTTTATCTTCTTTTATCTTACCATCATCAGGGGGTGCTGGGAAAGGCTGCGCAGTTGTTGTGGGAGAATGTGCTAAAATGAGGAGTTCAATACAATAACATTAACACACTTCTTCCCACAGAAACTCTATACACATGCAACAGTGAAAATTAAACCTTTTAATAAGATGAAGTTTTAATACATTCTCAGGACCATTATTAAATTTTTGTTTTAGTCTACTCAATGTATTGCTTTTTTTTTCTTCCGGCTTTCACACGGATCCATACACTACCCATCGTTTATTCCATCATCTTCAATTGATAGTTTTTGATAGAAGAGGGGAAACAAAACAGATAACCATTGAATATCTGGACAAAACTATCACTGGCCTATTTTTCCTGTTGCATAAATAAATGGGATACATGCAAAAATAAATATACGAGTAAACATAATACAGCTTAAAGTAAAACATATGCAAGATACACCCTTTTATTGAAAATTTATAATGAGTTTATCAATATCTTTAAACAAATAGAAGACCAACAACATAAAATCATGGCAAACTTTCCAATCTCTTTTTGCAGTCAAACAGGTCCTTTGAAAATGGCCCCAGTAAACTCAGTCATGCAATGCTTACTGATTTTATAACTCCCAGCAAACAGAGGGAGTAGATAAAGAGCAGCAAATGCAAGCTTATATGCAAAAACAATATTTTTTGTCATCCAATTAGTTGTTCTTCTTTCCTTTTTTCCCCTTAATTTTTCTGATAAATATTGTATTGGTTAGACTGAAAATCAAATATAGCTAAGAGCACTTTGCAAGCTATTTGGCCTTGCGACAATTTTTAATAATTTTTTATCTGGCGTGACATGGGAAGAGCTGTAGACAGCACACCCGTTTCAAAAATTGCTGTTGCCTAAATAATCTACATAGACAACTTCAGAACATATTTCATACCCAAAACTTGATATCATCTACTTACACAAACCATGCCTAGGTTGAAATATTTCCCTGTAGTCATTAGGGTCTTTGATATCAGCTACGGACTGGGCATCATCCTCGGGGTCATCCCCCTGGACAGCTGGCTCTTGTGGCTCCTCCTTGTATGGGCTGAGTAGAAATATACATTTTAAATCTCAAATTCAGTAGAAGTGACTTGAGATGGAGTCATCATTCACCAAATGTAAGCAGAACTGATTCAATTTTATTTACTCATTTTCTAGTTATAATGATCACTTAATTTGAAACAAATTATTTACGAAACTTCTTGTCACAAGAGCATTATTAGGCTGAATGCCTACAGATCATTGGATATTGGTAGTTGGCGGATGTTGGTAGACCTGTTAACTATTCTCACTTGGGGTAGTAATCTACAACTAGGTCATTCTGCCACTTACGCACCAGTTTTACAAATACAATTTTATTACATCAAAGGCTGACACAGGTTCTGAAACACTGTCAAGATTGGATAAGAGATTGTTAATGACAGGCAAATGAGGGCACTTACTTCTGTTGCTTGGTGGACTGTGTCTGTGGACGATCTGTCTGGAAACTCTTCCTTCCACTGAAATATCAATATAAGCCTCTCATCAAAAATTATTTCATGAGCAGTATGGATATCTCAAAATATAACAAATAAACAGAGTGCTTGCAAACAAGCATTGGGCAAGTTTATTAATTTACTGTGCTGGATTTTTAAATAGCCACAAGTCAAAACTTTTAAGTAAAAGATGACGTCACATTTTATTACTGTGTGAATTTTGGTATCATACCAGTTGATAGTTTTCAAAATATCAAAATTCAAATATTTATCCTTTTGCATTTTTTGAACCGATGCACATTGTTGCACAAACTAAATGAAACATCTGGTTCACTTAATTGTAAGTTGAAATGCAACTCAAAACTAGTAATTATAATGAAAACAAACCAGGAATACTCTATAATGTTGCAGAGCATGACACCTCACCTTGCAGACAGCCTTTGTGCTGGGGGCGCCGCAGGAGCTGCCTGGACTGTAGGGGGCTCTGGTGACGGTTCAGCAGGAACACCACCCATTGGCTGAACTTTCTAAAAAGAAAGAGAGAACTTGGGTTTATCTCTGTATCAACTGCTTTGCTTCAACTTTTTATATCAAAATACGAAAGCTTGAAGATGTCTATCAAGGATTATTCCAGGTACAAGGGAGATTATTTCAACTGGAAAAATTCCGCAGATTTTTTTTACATGGATTCAATGCAACAATGACACAAACCATGCTATCTTTAAAGTAAAATTGTACAAAAAGACTCCAAATTTCTAAAAGATTTCTACCGAACAAGTTCTTGATGTAAGTGCCTATGTATACCTACCTGCAGATCTACTACATACGTGGACACATTGGTCTGTGAATATAATGCTCCAATCTGAAATCATCAAATGATTTAAGTTAATCACAGGGCACTGTACACTTTCAAACACCGACATGTTTAACCACTAGACTGATTATAACCAAAGACTGAAAAACAAATTGTACAATGACAATCTATGAATATCTAAATATATTTCTTGGTATAGCTTACAATCATACAGCAAACACCACACTTTATTTTCAGCAATACTTCAAATGGCTGGTTTTTCCATTCAAGTTATTCACACAGATACACATCGCATTAGTTGAAAGTGGCTGGTGATTGGCTGGTGGCCTTACCAGCTGACTCTGTGCAGTGGCTATGTCGACAACCTTCCCCCAGCCAGTGGCCACGGTGTCGTAACAGCGCGCAGGCTCCCAGCCGTAAACCTTCAGCACATCCTGAGTCGCAGCATATAGGCAGAGTCCATCAGGGTGGAAACTTATGGACCTAGAGAGGACAGACATCTTGGTTATTATTGCCTTAATTGACTGTGACAAACAGGTGGGATATTGGTTTTTAAGTCAAAACACTTTGAAATTCTATTATGAAGATTCAGGACACTGACCTCTAGAAAGTTTATAGGTTTGAAACTAAACAGATTGCTTGAAATATCTTTATGCCTGAACAGGGCTTGGGATTATGCCTTATGAATGGTGGGACAAAGCAATATCATACTGTCTAGGCTTAAAACAGATTTTTAAAAAATAAAAACAGGTATATTTACCAAATATATATCAAACCAAAGTATTTAAATGTTAATCATATTGATCATAAAATTCAAACCCTGTAGCTCGACATTACTTCAATATTTTGAACTTTTTAACAATATTCTCTTTTTTCAATTCAGTACTCTTGGGCAGGTCAAACCTCATGTTATCTCACCTGATGCCTCCACACTCTCCATCAGTGGTGCTCACACATTGGAATGTCTCAAGATCCCAGTATTTGGCAGTTCTGGAAAAAACAAAACACACTAAAAATAAATCAATGACTGCATATGATTCCTTAAAAATTCTCAGCAACAATTGATGAAGTTCCTAAAAAAATTTAACACATATCGTTGCTACATATAAACAAGGCAGCAAAGCTGTCAAATGTACAGACAAAAAACAGAAAATAAAGATGCAAAAAAGGTCATTTTGTCAAATTTGATGCAATAATAAGTAATGCTTATAATAGCACTGTCAGTCAACACTGAATTTTAATCTTGCACAACAGGTAACATGGTCAATAACAGGAGCGGACCCAGAGATATTTTCTGACAGTATTACAAAGTATCTATGTTGATCCATCCTCCATTTTGATGGTCTTCCAACAGAAAAAAATAGATACCAGTCAATATAAACTTAATAACCTGACTGTCTTC